TGTGTACTCAGCAGTAAGTACTCACTCAGTTAACCAATGGGCCAATGCTTTATGTGTTCTCAACAGGAAGTACTCACTCAGTTAACCAATAGGCCAATGATTTAAGTGTTCTCAGCAGTGAGTACTCACTCAGTTAAACAATGGACCAATGCTTTTTGTGTTCTCAGCAGTAAGTACTCACTCAGTTAACCAATGGGCCAATGCTTTATGTGTAGTCAGCAGTAAGTACTCAGTCAGTTAACCGATGGGCCAATGCTTGATGTGTTCTCAGCAGTAAATACTCAGTCAGTTAACCAATAAGAGTACTCACTCAGTTAACCAATAGGCCAATGATTTATGTGTACTCAGCAGTAAGTTCTCAGTCAGTTAACGAATGGGCCAACGCTTTATGTGTTCTCAGCAGTAAGTACTCACTCAGTTAACCAATGGGCCAATGATTTATGTGTTCTCAGTAGTAAGTACTCACTCAGTTAACCAATGGGCCAATGATTTATGTGTAGTCAGCAGTAAGTACTCACTCAGTTAACCAATGGGCCAATGATTTATGTGTAGTCAGCAGTAAGTACTCACTCAGTTAACCAATAAGAGTACTCACTCAGTTAACCAATGGGCCAATGATTTATGTGTACTCAGCAGTAAGTACTCATTCAGTTAACCGATGGGCCAATGATTTATGTGTTCTCAGCAGTAAGTACTCACTCAGTTAACCAATGGGCCAATGATTTATGTGTTCTCAGCAGTGAGTACTCACTCAGTTAAGCAATAGGCCAATGATTTATGTGAAGTCAGCAGTAAGTACTCACTCAGTTAACCAATGGGCCAATGATTTATGTGTTCTCAGCAGTAAATACTCACTCAGTTAACCAATGGGCCAATGATTTATGTGTAGTCAGCAGTAAGTACTCACTCAGTTAACCAATGGGCCAATGATTTATGTGTACTCAGCAGAAATTTACTTAAATTAATGCTTGGAAATAAATCAGACATTATTTCATCATTAGTTCGTATTTCTCTGTGATCAGTTGAGATAACAAATGCACTGTTTTTTTCTAAAACATTCATTCATGCATCTCAGCCCCTGTAGCAATAGATTAATGAAAACAAATAAAATAAAATTAAGGATGAAAGCAATTCCCTCGGAGAGAGAAATATTTTGAAACATCTGTATGTAACTTATTCATTGCTATTTTCATGTCTTTTAGAAACTAGAATGTCCATTTTTATTTCCTATATTTTTACTTACCTTACCATAGGTCTTATGCATATTACCTTAAGCTCCGCTTAGAAGAGATCAGACAGTCGTTGATTCACCATTCTCTAGAATGGCTGCCTCAGGTATCTACGAGTGTATAGGCACGGAAGTGATGTGATCTCCCCTCTCGCGTTAGCGTGGTCTATCCAAAAATCATCAGGGATCTTACTGAAGACAATACGTCGAGGATTGAACCAACACGACTGGGACCTCCTGCCCCCAGCCGTGCCAGTTCGGTCTACACCAGTAGGCGGGAGGGAGACTAGGGATCTTTTGGCCCAATTGGACAATCCTGGAAGATCCGTTTGTGACCAACATTCTCAAGACCGGCTACAAGCTGCCAATCACTGTGTCGCCGCCTCGGACTACAACGCCCCAGTCACGCGTGTATGCTCCAGACCAACAGCTACTGCTTGCAGACAACATCCAGACTTTGCCAGACAAGCAAGCTATAGAGACAGTGCTAGACCCCCAACAGTCCCCGGGGTTCTACTCACCCATCCTTCAGGTTCCAGAGAAAGACTCAGGGAAAATGCGCATGATTCACAACATGGTAGTTTTCAACCACCTTTACCTGTCGGAGCCGCCTCATTTCCGGATGATATCCCTGGAACAGCTTCGTGCCAAGCTTGCGCCCAGGACCTAGCTGGCCAGCCTCGACCTCCAGGATGCGTACTTACATGTGCCCATTTACTGTCGTCACAGGAAGTACCTTAGGTTCTTTTTCAACGGTTCCCATTACCAGTGGAAAGTGCTTCTGTTTGGAATTTCAACTGCCCCGTGGCTTTTTACTCGGATTACCTCGCTGATCACCCGGTTTCTCCATCTCAGGGGCATCGATTTGGACCCTTATATAGACGACTGCCTCATGAACCACCGCGATCCTCAGTTGCTTCGCAGACAGATGACTTTCGCCATGCATCTTCTGGAGCAACTGGGGTGGATTATCAACACAGACAAATCGCACCTGGAGCCGTCCCAGGAACTGACGTTCATAGGGGGGTTATTCCTGACTCACTGCGACCTAGTCAGGGTTCCGCAGGATCGCTGGAGGAAGATTGTCAATTTCGCCAGCCGAGGTCTGTCCCAGCCACTCATGCTCAGGGAGTGACAGTCCCTCTAAGGCCTCCTCACCTCAGCCCAGGACTTGACGCTCAGAGGTCGTCTGATGCTCCGGCTGTTACAGCGCTTCCTCTTGCCTTACATCCAGGCAGACGATCTTCAGTCAAGATTCCTCCTGCCTCTACATCTCCTCGCTTACCTCCGCTGGTGGATCACGAACTTTTCGTAACGCGTCTCTTCAGGGTTGGGGTGCACACTTCAGGGACCAGACCACCTCGGCGCTGTGGTCCGCCGACGAACTAGGCTGGCATATCAACAACTTGGGGTTCCAAGCAGTCATTCTAGTGGTTCGACATTGGATTCCTCTGCTGTGGAACACCAGGCTCCTGATAGGGTCGGAGAATTCTACGGTGGTGTGGTTGATTCGCAACCAGGGAACAACCAGGTCCAAACGGTTGTTGGAGCAGACCAATAATGGCATCAGAGCCAGAGCCCGGCACATCCCAGTTTGCAAGAACGTTCTAGCAGACGCTCTCTCAAGGCCAGGCAAGCCATCGCCAACAGAGTGGATGCTACATCCAGAAGCGTTCAACCTTCTATGCCACAGTTATGGTCGCCCTCTGAGCGACCTGTTTGTGACCCAGTTCAACAAACAGCTGCCGTTGTACATGTCTCCAATTCCAGATCCAGCGGCATAGGCAGTCGACGCCATGTCCTTGTCGTGGGAGGTCTGGACGCATACGCCTTTCCACCACCAGTTCTGCTGCCAGCAGTGTTAGCAAAGGTCAAGCAGAGAGTGGCGATTCGTCTGCTTTTGGTCGCGCCTTTGTGGCCAACCAGAACTTGGTTTCCGGATCTGCGCCCTCTCGCCGGAAGAAATCCGCTACAGTTGCCAGAGTGGCCTCATCTGCTCAGACATCCGCACACTCGACAGCTGCATCCCGATCCGACCCGATTTCATCTGTTTGGTTGGATCATCTGCAAAGGGCGCTAAAGGCTAAGGGCTTCTCCACAGGCATTGCTAAGGTTATTGCTTGTGCTCATCGAGTTTCCACTAGGTCACTCTATGTCACTCTATAAGTGGATTTCTTTTGAGAAGTTTTGTGCACAGAAATCCAAGGACCCGTTAAAAGCCTCTCCTCAGTTTATAGCAGATTTCCTTCTTTTCCTTCGGAAGTCCTGGCCTCTCAAGGGTAACACTATAGGAACGTATTTGTCGGCTCTTAACTCTGTGTTGGCAGTCAAGTGTGACAAGAAGATTTCCAAGGTGCCGGAACTCATCGCTTAACTTAAAGCGTTCAAGCTGGAGGACCAGAAGGCAAAGTGTCGTCCTCCTGCTTGGGACCTTAAAATCGTTCTTCGGCATCTGAGAGGTCCGCCTTACGAGCCCTTGGACTCTGCTTCTTTCGAGAATCTCTCCAGGAAAACAGCTTTTCTCTTGGCCCTGGCTACGGCGGCTAGGGGCAGTGAGATCCACGCTTTAGATGTCACCAGGGTGCGTTTTGAGGAGTCGCGACATGGTCCTGTTCATCTGGGACTGCTTTGGGATTTTGTGGTTTAGAATCAGCTACCAGGACAGCCGGACAGAATGTCTTCCATTCCTCCTTTGCCTTCCATTCTAGGACCACATGACGCTGAGGAAGAGCTGCTTTGTCCTGTGAGGGCTCTTAAGATGTATCTTGCCAAGTCATCATCCAAGAGGCAGTCTTGCAAGAAACTGTTTATTCCCTTTTCCTCGGCGGCTAAAGGGAAGTTAATAGGAATACTATTTCCCTCTTGGTACGTACGACCATCCTTGCCGCCTTCGATGCACAGCCTCATCCTACAGCCAATAACCCGCACGAGATAAGAGCCCTGGCGTCCACTATGGCTCTCCATAGGAACTGCACCGTTCCAGCCATCAAGGAGGGATGCTTCTGGAAATCCTCTACTGTCTTCGCTAGCCACTACCTGCGGGATTTGGCCGTCGAGGATGTGGAAGTGCTGCAATCCTTTGGTGCTCTGGTGGTTGCCCAGCAGCTCACCCGACCTACCGCCCATTAGGTAACTTCTTCTTCTTACCTTTTTGGTCTTAAGGTTAAGTTACGCCCTGGATGTGTTTGTTTTCCTTAGGGTTTGCTTGGATTACTATCTGTTTCCTGTTACAGGCGCCTCCTGTTTCAGCCTGTCGACTCAGTTAGTTCTCTTTGGTTGCTCTTGGCATGTGGTCTTAGGACGGTTCTCTGGAGCCCGACACCGCCGCCCTAGTGTCGAATCCATATGCATAAGACCTATGGTAAGGTAAGTTAAAAATTTATTAAAATCTAAATATTTTAGATATTTAAATACCTTACCATAGGGCGGTAACTTCCTCCCAACGCTGGATGCTCCTCCCCTCTCTGGACTCTTCGGACCTGGTCAGTAAAAGTGATTTTTTGATAGACCGCGCTTGTGCGAGAGGGGAGACCACGTCACTTCCGTGCCTATACACTCGTAGATACCTGAGGCAGCCATTCTAGAGAATGGCGAATCAATGAATCTTCTAAGCGGAGCTTAAGGTAATATGCATAAGACCTATGGTAAGGTAAGTATTTAAATATCCAAAATATTTAGATTTTAATAATTTTCTCCCTCACATACAAACCAGGATTATTCCTAAAGGAAATTCAGAAAGAAAGAGCTTAAGAATACTTACCTCTCTTTTCAGCATGATAGCAACATCATTGCTTTTCTGTCAGCACTTGGAGTATTCAATTCCATCCAGCCTCCATACACTGCCTGCGTGATGCTGGAGCTGTATCACAGGAACAACCTATTCTTTGTCAAAGTCTTGTACAGAAATGACACAGCAGCTCCTCCCTACACTCTGACAATACCAGGTGAGTAACAGATACATGGTCCAAAGTGTTAAAGCTCCTTTATAATAGTTGGAGCTTACATAGGTGGAACCCTGCAGTGTGATGAGAGAAGGGACATGGGAAGGAACGTGTTCAACATGGGCAGTAGCACTGGAATCACTGGATATAGACACTGCGTTAGGTCAGTAGGTGAACAATCAGGCTTCCAGTTTCATAATGACTACATCACATTACTGTGAGAGTAAATCATACTAAATGCAGACTTCTTGCGAAACATGCCCGATACCTGCAATGTCTCAGTGAATCGTATCCAATATCTGCCATGTGTCAGTGAAACGTATCCAATATCTGCTATGTGTCAGTGAATCGTATCCAATATCTGCCATGTGTCAGTGAAACGTATCCAATATCTGCTATGTGTCAGTGAAACGTATCCAATATCTGCTGTGTCAGTGAAACGTATCCAATATCTGCTGTGTCAGTGAAACGTATCCAATATCTGCTGTGTCAGTGAAACGTATCCAATACCTGCAATGTGTCAGTGAACCATATCCAATATCTGCCAAGTGTCAGTGAACCGTATCCAATATCTGCTGTGTCAGTGAAACGTATCCAATATCTGCCATGTGTCAGTGAAATGGATCCAATATCTGCTGTGTCAGTGAAACGTATCCAATATCTGCTATGTGTCAGTGAAACGTATCCAATATCTGCCATGTGTCAGTGAATCGTATCCAATATCTGCCATGTGTCAGTGAAACGTATCCAATATCTGCTATGTGTCAGTGAATCATATCCAATAGCTGCTATGTGTCAGTGAAACGTATCCAATATCTGCCATGTGTCAATCATATCCAATATCTGCCATGTGTCAGTGAATCATATCCAATATCTGTTATGTGTCAGTGAATCATATCCAATATCTGCTATGTGTCAGTGAAACATATCCAATATCTGCCATGTGTCAGTGAACCGTATCCAATATCTGCCATGTGTCAGTGAACCGTATCCGATATCTGCCATGTGTCAGTAAAACGTGGCTTGTGTTTTCACCACTGGGGGTATCTGAAAGGTATTTGTTGTACATACACACTCAGGTTCGGTGGATGTTCATGTGGTACTGGTACCATCAGGTTTTGTCCTTATTTTGTCTCTGTCTGCAGGTTGTGCCACACTGTGCCCTATTGCCACCTTCCACAGACTGTTGAGTAATGTGACACTGGAGGCGGAGTCTCGGGCTTCCTTGTGTGGGTCCACCCAAGCTGCAACAGGAGCCACCTCCACCCCTAACAGTTGTAAGTGACTTGTCCGACTTTGATTGTGGAATGTAGCAGCAACTGATTATCTGAGGCACAGACATTTGCCTGGCAGAGTTATCTCCCTGGTACCTACCATAATGCCCTGATTGTTGGAATGCTAGATTTGCTCATTTTTGCGACCACAGATCATGTAACCTTGAATCAGTGTTTACTGTGTGTTTCACATAAAATCTGAAACACTTTTCAACCTGCTTGATAAGCTGTTGTTCTGTTATCAAACATATCATTCTAATGGGTTATCAGAGGCCATTGTTATATTCAGTGATGCGTAGGCTCATTAATCAGTGTTTTATGCACAACATTTTTGTGTGAAGAGGCATGTTGATTTTCAAGTAATGAATGGAATTAGATATCTAATTTTAACAAATCATTATCAAGGAATCTTTGTTGTCATGATAGGTAGTTGACCCTATTAGTAGTTTGCTTATGTTATGTATATTCATGAGCTATTTGTTGAGCTGACATTGCTGACTCTTGTATCATACCATTCACCAACACTTCTTCAGATGTGGTACCACTGGCAACAGCTGGTGCCTTCGTCCTCCTTGCTGTTGTTGTTGTTGCCATGTACTTCCTCCACCGACACCGCCACAAGCTCAGCAAGCGTGTCATCAACTATTGCCAGCTACTTCACAGTCCTGAAAACAACACAGATGAAGATGAGCTTGTGGCCTGATGCTGAAAGTCACAGCAGGTAGTTTACTGTTTTGTTATGGAGACGCAATCTTGTCTTGTTGCATAATATTGGTGAGGGAAAATATCATTGATATTTTCTGTTCATATGACTATATTTTTTTTCACATTCCAGATTTTGTTGATTGTTTCAGAAGAGTTCCATTTAGTTTATCACATATGCATAAGAATTTGTTTTTCTGTTTTGGAAAGGTTTGTTATCATCAAATGTTTATAGAAGCAAAGATGTGGATAAGAATTTGTTTGAAGAGTTATCTGACCCTTCTGTAATGATTTCTGATTTGAGTAATGATAACTGATTTGAGTAATGATAACTGATTTCAGTAATGAAATGCTTCAGAAATGCTTCATCTGCTGTGTAAAGTGCATTTTTTAAAAGTTGAATTGAATTTTATGTCAGCATAGTTAAATACTAACTATGGTGATTTGTCCAGCTTAACATCTATTTCACATTTAAGTTCGGAACATATTAAGACTTTATGACATCTGGCCCAAATGATAATCATCTTTTTGACATTTGTTGTTTATATTATTCCCCCAAATAGTTTATACATTATATAGTTTTATTATGAACAAAAAATTTAAAGGAGAAAAACTTTAATAAACAGAGTTATTGAAAACTCCAGCCCTGCTCACATCATGTAAGTTGTTTTGGCACAGTGGAAACATTGAAACTAATGAATACAAGAATCCATTTGAAGAAACTGTTCCAAAATGTACAGTACATTCAGTGTGTTCACCACTGAGCAGAGCAAATCAAGTGTTGCATACAGGTTCTACTGCATGCGGGTAGACACAGAAACAATATCCTGGCCTGACATCTCTGCATTGATGTATTCCAGACTCCGTTGTTTACAGACTGCTGTCCTGTGGAATATTGCTGAGTGTGGCTTTAAACAACAGCGTAATCTTGACTAAGTTTGTTGCCTGTTTGTCAGCAGCCTGTCCCTGTGCCATGTTGTCATCAGTGCATGGTTTTGTACATGGGTATGTTTGGTTGTTGCTGGAAGTTGCCAGAAAAACATTGTTACCGTTATTTGTCGTTTCATGCTGTGTGTTTCCTGTTGTATTTTAGCCATTTCTGACGTGAAGTTGCTGTGCTTATTCATTTGGTTTATATACTGTACAACAACAAACACATACTTGTACATTACCTTGTCAAAATGATTGGTACAGTCCTAGAACAACAGGACACAAGACATCGAGTGCATACACAGAGTTAAAATACTACTGAGGCCATTGTGTACCAACAGCTCACACAAAGTCACATGCATCTCAACTTTCTTGAAGGTTTCTTGTTCCCTATTGTGCCAGGAGGCTTGTCTTATTGTACTGCCTCTGATGGTTTGGTTTTACTTATGTTATACTTCAGCTAATTTGAAAGCATCATATTTTACTCCAAAATATATGTTTGTTTTTTAACCATCACAGACTGAGAGGCCTTTCTCCTGTGTTGGATTCCCTGTGTTATGGGAGCGTGACCAGTGGCCGTTACTTAAACAAAATCTATTTTGCAATGACATTGAATAAACATAAAATATCATTTTTAGAATTAGGTCTTAGGTTTGTTACTAGGTTGATCCATGTCACAGTTTATAGCGGGTGTTATCATGATGACAAGTTGGACTTCCCCTGAAATTTAGGAACGTTTCCACTAGAACTCCAAAACTTTTCACTCTTACTGGATGAGCCTTACTGGATGAGTCGTCAAATGGGGAAATTTGATTGGCTGGGATTTTTGGATTTATGGATTTGTTTTATTTTTTTATGTTTTCATTATGACAAATTGTACTTGATTAAAAGTAAGAGCACTGTTCTTTTGAACTCTCAAACTGTTGATTATTGCTGTATGTCACTTGCTGTACAAGTCAGTTATTTGGTGAAGTATTGCCTTTTGTTGATTCCAGATCTTGAAAAGTACCAAACACCATTTTAAAAACAAATTGAACCAAAAGTTACATGTATCTCGTGGTATTGTGGATTATAATTGACCGAAGACCATTTCCGAATTGCCCTACGACCAGGATGACACGTCATAGTAGCCACCCTTGTAATGAAAGAAACTGAATGTGAATGTTTTCTACATGATCTATTTTACCTTTGTCCATGTAACTCACTCATTCAGAGAAGATGGGCAGGTGTCTGTTCTATACTGACACTGTGAACTGTACATTATACTGAAGCACCTGTGTTATAGTCTGACTGTAGCGACATGGCCAATAACATCCATGGGTTCCCAGTTGGAGAGGCGGCGGGGTAGCCTAGTGGTTAAAGTGTTCGCTCGTCACACCGAAGACCCAGGTTCGATTCCCCACATGGGTATTATGTGTGAAGCCAAATTTCTGGTGTCCCCGGACGTGATATTGCTGGAATATTGTTAAAAGCGGCGTAAAACCATACTCACTCACTCACTTTCCCAGTTGGAAGGTGCTTCCTCTCTACACATGGTTTAGCAGGTAGATCTGTGAGAAGTATGGTATACCTTGAAGTATACTAGATGTAAAACATGTCAACAGTCACTTTGCTGGCATTTATCTAAACTGACCGACCTCACATGGTACCTCACATCTCGTTGCCTTTCGTAGACCAAAGTGGAATTGTTGGCAGTGTGGTCCACTGTCACAGGATCAGTATTAGGGACCAACACTTATATAGTCTGGAAAACCAGATTTATTAGTCAAAACTATTTGCCTAAAAGGTCACTGTTCAACAATGTATTATTAATGGTGGACAATTTCAATTTTGTTCAGCAGTCTGAAACATAATTATCTATTTCAAGCATTTTCAAATCTCTTGCTCATTTTCATCACCAGTTGTTTCTATTTCTTGTCTAAACTAATGTTTGGTATTTCTTGTGTTATCTTTGCCCCGTACAGGCAGACATATTTTCAACCAGAAGCATGCAATTCCTAATGGTGAGATGTACATCTTTTTAACACGTTTTACTATATATGTGGGCATAAATATACATCTATTTCTTGTTCTTATGTCTTGAGTGTTTTATGCAGATTTTATATTTAATATTTTTATAGAATGTTTGTACACTAATAAACTATTTTGATAAGCCATGTGTTATTGTTGATAAAATACATGTAGTTGAAAGTGCAGTTGTTGAGATGGGTTGAGGATAGTCAACTGTTCTTGTCGAATAACATGCATGTGTATTAGAGTTGCCTACATTTTGTAATGTTTTCATGAGCTGCTCAGCAGATGATGAAGGAAAGTCAAATATCAAATTGTGTATTCTTAATCTCACGTTTCACATCTTGACTTCTTTGATTGGCATTCTAGAAGTTGGGTAGATGAAGAATGAGGGCTATTTTTATGGATATACAACTTCTTTATTCTATATAGGCGACGTTTCGACATAGATTCTAATGTCGTTGTCAAGCAAGTGGTGTAACTTCTTTATGACTTGCTTGACAACGATATTAGAATCTATGTCGAAACATCACCTATATAGAATAAAGAAGTTGTATGTCCATAAAAATAGTCCTAATTTTTCACATCTTGGTCTGAACACCGTCAGTGAGGCAACCTGAAGATTATTTTGTCAACATAGGAAGGTGTCTGTAAAATATCAAGCATATGTTTTCAGATATAGTCATCATATTGTAAATAATTACCACAAACATAGTTGAACAGGGATATATTATACCTTGGATAACCTTCTTTGTCTTTAGATACACTACTTATATACATGGATTTGGAATCCTGATCTGTGTTAAGAAGTGCATCTTTTGACCAAGAATCACAATTATGTAAATAACAGACTGGAACAAACGTGGGAGAGAAGTATACCTGGACACTGACACTTGCCTTTAGGTATCAACATAACGTTCCCTAGGCTTCAGTCATATTGATCAGACTACATATGGCCGCTGCTCAGTCATTTTGACTTCAATGTTCTGTGAAGTTAGTAAGTTCTCTCAATGTAAACATATCTGGACTTGCTGGATTGAAGAAGGTGAATCTTGGCATGTACATGTATGTTGCTAATGATAACATCATATTCTGGCCAGATCATTAGTGTATGTCCATTGATGCCAGATGCCATTTCTCTTTTAGCACCGAGTTGTATCCCATTGACCTCCACCTCAGTAACATGGGTACAATGTGTGAAGCCCATTTCTGGTGTCTCTCACACAGGCCCTCGTGTCTTTGCGAGGATTAATGATTTTATAAGTTCTATACAAAAAATTGAGATGACCTCCGACTCGAAATGCTTCACAGTATAATACATCATAACGTATTGTACTGTGAAGCATTTCGAGTCAGGGGTCATCTCAAAAACAAAAACAGACACGAGGGCCTGTGATCCAAACTAGACCCGTGAAGGTCTGGGTTAGAATATTGATCTTCAGTAACCCATGCTTGTCGTAATAGACAACTAACGGGATCGGGTGGACAGGCTCGCTGACTTGGTTGACACATGTCATCGGTTCCCAATTGCGCAGGTCGATGCTCATGCTGTTGATCACTGGATTGTCTGGTCCAGGCTCGATTATTTACAGACTGCCGCCATATAGCTGGAATATTGCTGAGTTCGGCGTAAAACTAAACTCACTCACTCACTCATTGTCCAAACAAAGGAGTTTGTCAACAGTAATATATCCACAATGTCCGTGGCTCAACATCACCATTTTACCTTCAGTGAGATGAAAACACTGAGAAATCCACCTCCTACAAGTTATCAGTTTGTATAATAATTGTAGAATTCCAACATGACTCCTTTATGCAGACATGTGTAGTTCTGTGGTCATGCACGGTTGTTAAAGTGACAGTGAATTAAGACGGAAGTTGACACACACGATCTAACATAGGTTACATACGCCAACATACCTGTCAGGTTGACGGTTGAAGAATTATGTTAATAATTCCAGAGTGAAAAACGTGTCACCTTGTCACAAGGAACTGTCACGTGGATTTCACTTTCATCTATTTATATCTCTTGGTTAAGAAAGTGTCTGACCTTTCCCCGACAGAGACGCAGCCATGCGAAACAGATACATGTGACTGTCACTTTTAAACTTTTAAGATAAATATATTCGGCGGTTTGCTCGTAGGTAAGACTAAAATATGCAGACTACCTTTCAACACACGGCGGTGAACAACGCGCTACGTTAATGGTGATCTCTATGTTTTGGGTGTCTCTAAACGCTGTGCTCAAATAGCCAGCCAATCCCAAGATGGCATCAGCATAGATCTACGTCATTGGGACGATGTGCGGTCAAGTCGGTGAGCCTGACGGTACTTTCCAGTTTCTCGTCTCAAGAGTAGGTTGATGAGAATCAATCCTGGATCTTCAAACGGGATCTATACAGACGGAGAGATATTTGGATTGGATTCACACAAAGTTGGTTTCAGTGAGCTTTGTAAATTAGGACGTGCAGAGGTGAAATAGTGGCTGATTAGATTAGATTAGATGGTGATTAATTGATATAAAGGACTAGTCGTCGGGTCTATCGAAACTCTCTGGGCTTATATGTACTTTATCAGTTAAGAAAGTGTTTAGAAATAAAGTTTGTTGTACCTCCAGTGTAGTGTAATAAAGTATAGATTAATTTCCTCTGAAACTAATATTGTAACTGACCTGGGCAGAGCTATATTTAATACACAAGACAAGGGGGAAACTTGATTACTTTCCCGCGGTGCTGAATGAAGGCTAACCTTTTTTTTTTAGTGTGGAGATAAAATTCAAATCTTTGTTATAACCGGCTTCGTATTTTGAAAAGTAACGAGCTGTTCCACCTTATTGCTTGCATTACTAAGTTAAAAGCAGGAATATAGTTTAAATATGTTCAAAAACAAGTAGAATGGGAAGTTTGTGTATGACAATTCACATTATATTAGGAGTTCAGTGTGTGGTTTTCCAGTATACAGTTTAGCAATAAGAAGCATTCAGATGTAAGTTTTGTATAAACAAGCTTGTTTCCACCACAGCTACAAGCCATTTAAAGGAGAGTTCTTTCTGACTTGGGTGCACCGCACACAACGGTAACGTCACCACCGTAAAAGGACTGTTCGGGCATGCAGTAGCGTTGTCGCGGGACAAACATGGCGGGAGAGCTAGAGATGCAAGGGTGGTCGTTTTGTGTGACTGCAGGCGGAGTATAACTGAGCTGACCCTGAAGATCCGGGCTTGAAATTGGTTTTTAGCAACCCAGCTTGTTGTAAGAGGCGACTAACGGGAACGGCAGGTCAGGCTTGCTAACTTGGTTTACACATGCGTCATCGTATCCCAGTTCCTTAGATCCTTGCTCATGGTGTTAATCACTCGATTGTCTGGTCCAGAGTCGATGTTTTGTAGATCGCTATCGCATAGCTGGGAGAGAAATTCAGTCGCACGTTTTCATCAGCAAACAAACAGAAACGCAATGGCTATGTTTAGGATTGTACCGTACTTATATAATGTTTATTTATTCATTAAGTATAACGAATCTGTTGGATTCATCGATACTTGATGGGTATGCGAGGTCTTGACTGACAGAATTGACGAAGGATATAACAGAGCATACATTAGATCAAATTAGAAATTATTGGGACACCGTCAACAGCACGTCTCATCATTACGATAGCAATCAAAATTAGTACTTTGTCTCAGGCTAATTACATCATATCATGAATTACCGTCGACCTCCTTTATCCTTTATCAGAGCCTAGATAACATTACCTTCCCTCGATTTATGTTCTTCATACCAGTTGAATGGTATTGGAGTGGTATGGTATACACGTTTTCCAGCACAGGCCTGTGTGTACCAGATGTTTACACCATTACCTCATCAGAACACCACGTCGTACAGGGGAATTTGATTTTTGTCTTCAGATTATTTCTAATAGTGATATTGGATGGTGCATGGAATAACATACTGAAAAGATATGGCATTATGGATTACCTGTCCGTAGGGATGCCTGGTCGCCAAAAGCTCGGGATGTTTCGTTTTGTAATCATTCTTCCACTGTGAGTTAAGAATACGAACGGCAAGGTGACGGTTGTCACACGTATGGATACCCGCTTCCACTGGTAACATACAGGCGAACCACGTCATCTGTGGTCAGAGGTGTGTAGTGCTAGGACGACGTACATGCTGCGGCTCGACCACTGTGTACATGACATACAATAGTGTCCTGAGTACATCCTTCCCTCCTTGGTTTCTATGGTGGTTTAGGTCTTATGTTTAAGATGAGCATTAAATATATCTATGAGCTCAGTTATGTCTTTCCCACTCCGAACACCTACACAATTGTTATACATCAAACTAACCGCATCCTGGGACACTTTAAAGGGATATTGTCTTCTGTACGGGACTATTGCGGCCAAAATATATAAAAAAAGTGTTGTGAATTTCAATTTGACTTCATGTCTCAAAACAGGCATTATGAAACAAAAAGATAGCATACAGGTTTTCCGACAATATGAGGCATAAACTTAATGTACACACTCTAAAACTGTCGGCAGTGTATGGCCGACTGGGACCACATGTTGGTAAAGTATTGGTATATTTCAGTTCGATGTTCAGGTCACAACTTGTTTTACACAACCCAGCATATGGTTTTCGCATTATAATCTGTGTAGGAACTATGAATGATGTGAAATATTCTTTAAATTCACTTTAGGGTTCAGAACGCCATCGTCAGCAGGAGACGCCGTGTAGAGGACGCCATGGGGTCAGAAAGGGGGACCAAGAAGACCCCCGGAGGCAAAGGCTGCTAAGAATACATTCAGAGCACATCCTGGAGGCAGAAGAGGACCGCGAAGTTCTCCAGAGGGAGGACAACTGCCGAGCAGACGACAGTGGCAAGTCTTTCATGCAACCCTTTGAAGAAAATATTGGCAGTTGGTTTGGTTGCAATGCCGACCCGTGTACAGTGCACACCCTCTCCCCAAAGTATGCAGCTGTGTAGAGAGAGCTGGTGTCGGGGATTATTATACGCCCAGATGATTACTTCTGTTAATTTTTCACAACGCTTAAGACTTATTGTCGTGAGCACAGAAGAAGAAAAACGTTCACAGTCGTCCTGTTATTACACTAGCTGCTTACCAGAGGTATCAATTGTATGGTTTGACTGAAGGTTTTTATATTTTCCACTGAAATTATTCGAAATTAACTTACATTATTTCCGTCGAAACTTTTAGGCAGATTGCACCAACTCACCAGTATTTACTGCAGCCACGATTTGCTTACAGCTATCATGCTTTACAACGAACATCAGTTGTCGCAGAATGTACACACAATCAAGGCCGCATACTTCCTTCTTTAAAAGTCATAATCGTTTAATGCGTGAAGTGTAATATTGTTCCTTGTTCTATAATAGTGATCACGCTAATATTCACTTGAGTTATTACATTTATTTGTAGTGAATGACAAGTAGAAAAAGAGTGAACAGATAATTCCTATTTCCGGAATATTTTACGAAACATGTAAATGTTTATTGTCATTTTAAGGAAGCACATAATAGGAAATACAGAAATTGTAAATCATTATGTCCCTTTCCCACCAATTCATGAGCTCTTTTACCTGAAACTACGAATAATGCACCAAATAATGTTCTGCTCATGTGGGTGCACATTGTACAAATAATTGTTTGTGAGCACTGTCCTGAGCTGTACATTTGCCCCGCTCGAACTGTGTACACGGAGGTAGAGGTATATACGCAGTATACGGCCTAATATATCAATAGATGCCACAGGGGTAAACATTATTCTTGTTTAATGTCGCGCTCTCAATATATCACGGCACTGCTCACCTGTATATTAACGGGGCGGTTGTGTAGCATATTCGTCAAAACACTCTCTCGTCATGCTGAGGGCCCGGGTTCGAATCCCTCAGTGGGTACTATGTGTGAAGCTTCAGAGCTAATTCTTGCTCCTTCATCAGGTGAATGCTGAGTCAGTGCACATTGTGAATATATATAGATAAAACATGTTTACACAAGGTAAGGTGGGAGAATGTACAGTATACCTATGAATAAGAAGTATGTACAAAGATAACAATATAGTGTAATGACAAAACCAAGAGTGGGGATTTTGGGGGAGTGTATGAAAATGTACAAGGATAACAGCCCTATGCTGGCACAGCAAGGTATATAACCCCTTTCAACAAAGACGAGGACCTCGAAGCCATACTTGACCACCTCCGCCTACAAGACCACAGAATGAAATTCACAATGGAAACAGAAAACCGCCACCAATTACCCTTCCTCGATGAACAACTCGACAACAGTCAAGACAACATCCACACTGCCGTCTACCGCAAACCAACCCACACGGACCAGTACATCCGCTTGCCTGTCAAACCACCACCATCAGATCAAACAAGCGGGGTGTCCCCAGTTTGCTAGCAGGTATTGTTTAAAGGTTCCAGGCTACTGGACCGTGCTAATCTCTTAAAACAACAGGTGGTGCACTTTTTAGTTACCCCTGAGCTGGTAAACACAGTTCACTTTACCACTGAGCTGAGCTGGTGAACACAATTCACAGGGTGGTGGTTGTGCGAGACCTAAGAGGAAGAAGTATCGCCAGCTTGAAGAACAGCTAGACCGCGAGAAGAGACTGTTGCAAGATGGCGTCAAGACTCCACTTGCTTACGTTGTATCTCACCTTGTAGGGCTATGAATAATGATGTATGCATGTGATAGTGTGTATAATGTGATATTTTCGTCGCCCTCAACGGCTACCCTAAACATCTCGCGGACAAAACCATAGGAAACCCCTTGCCACCCAGCACAGATCCCGTTCCCAAGTCCAAACCAGTTCTATCATCCATCCTCGTCAGCATCCCATACCAAGGTCCTACTAGTCACCAGATCAACAGCTCACCAGAACAGCCAAAATAGACCTCACTTTGACTTCAAACACTAAAATATATGTGACATGCCAACGGAAGAGGTCCCACCCAGTCCGCCCCAAACCCTAGACGGTGTGTATGACATACCATGCAACGGTGGACACAAATACACATCACGACCCAGAGCCACCAGCCTCCTGTGTAGAAAAGTCTCACACGAAATCTGCCCTTTCGGAACTGCTCATCTAAAATCCCGACCACCATACTTCCTGGCAGCAAACCAAGATTCTACATACCAACATCAACCACTGGAAAAAGAGGAAACTCAAGAAAAGCATCGAAATCCAAAGAAAGATGTCAGCCATTAACCGAGACTCTACTTTCCCAGTGTGAACTCCATTGTGCTATAAACATCAACGTCGTCTTACATTGTTATACCGTTACTCTCGTTGTCTTCACCTTCCCAGTGTGAACACTATTGTGCTGTAACGTCGTCTTACATTGTTATACCGTTACTCTCGTTGGCTTCACCTTCCCAGTGTGAACACCATTGTGCTGTAACGTCGTCTTTCATTGTTATACCGTTACTCTCGTTGTCTTCACCTTCCCAGTGTGAACACCATTGTGCTGTAACGTCGTCTTTCATTGTTATACCGTTACTCTCGTTGTCTTCACCTTCCCAGTGTGAACACCATTGTGCTGTAACGTCGTCTTACATTGTTATACCGTTACTCTCGTTGTATTCACCTTCCCAGTGTGAACACCATTGTGCTGTAACGTCGTCTTACATTGTTATACCGTTACTCGCGTTGTCTTCACCTTCCCAGTGTGAACTCCATTGTGCTGTAACGTCGTCTTACATTGTTATACCGTTACTCTCGTTGTCTTCACCTTCCCAGTGTGAACACCATTGTGCTGTAACGTCGTCTTACATTGTTATACCGTTACTCTCGTTGTCTTCACCTTCCCAGTGTGAACACCATTGTGCTGTAACGTCGTCTTACATTGTTATACCGTTACTCTCGTTGTCTTCACCTTCCCAGTGTGAACACCATTGTGCTGTAACGTCGTCTTACATTGTTATACCGTTACTCTCGTTGTCTTCACCTTCCCAGTGTGAACACCATTGTGCTGTAACGTCGTCTTACATTGTTATACCGTTACTCTCGTTGTCTTCACCTTCCCAGTGTGAACACCATTGTGCTGTAACGTCGTCTTACATTGTTATACCGTTACTCTCGTTGTCTTCACCTTCCCAGTGTGAACACCATTGTGCTGTAACGCCGTCTTACATTGTTATACCGTTACTCTCGTTGTCTTCACCTTCCCAGTGTGAACTCCATTATGCTATAATCATCAACGTCGTCTTACATTGTTATACCGTTACTCTCGTTGTCTTCACCTTCCCAGTGTGAACACCATTGTGCTGTAAGGTCGTCTTTCATTGTTATACCGTTACTCTCGTTGTCTTCACCTTCCCAGTGTGAACACCATTGTGCTGTAACGTCGTCTTACATTGTTATACCGTTACTCTCGTTGGCTTCACCTTCCCAGTGTGAACACCATTGTGCTGTAAGGTCGTCTTTCATTGTTATACCGTTACTCTCGTTGTCTTCACCTTCCCAGTGTGAACACCATTGTGCTGTAACGTCGTCTTACATTGTTATACCGTTACTCTCGTTGTCTTCACCTTCCCAGTGTGAACACCATTGTGCTGAAACGTCGTCTTACATTGTTATACCGTTACTCTCGTTGGCTTCATCCTAACATTGTTATCTTTGTACATTAATCCTATCTAACTGGCTTCGTGATTATATGGTCAATGTACATTCTCCAGCCTTGCCTTGTTTAAACATCTTATATACATAACATGTTCATACAAGGCAAGGTGGCAGAATTACATTGTCAATATAATCACGGTTTTTATATATCCCCGTGTATCCTCTAAAATAATTGTACAGTACAAAATAAATTTATATACGCCACAAATATATCATCAAAACTATATACATGTACATAATAGTAAATACTACTTTACAGTGTCACAAATCGTATTATTAAAACAAATCTGTGTTTTAAGCATTTGGGTTTCGTACAATATGAAATATGCCAGAAGTGCTTGGCAGACAACGACCCTGGCTTCACTTTGAGTCGTTAATTCCATGATCTTTGACACTGGAAACACGTCTGACAATACAATTTTTAATACCACGATCTTTGACACTGGAAACACATCTGACAATACAGTTGCGATGTTATAGTTGATTATGACAGCCCCGGTCAAGTCGGACCAAACACGTGACAGATTTTACAGGATTTGTGACTTACGATGAACAATCACAATGTGCGATATGGGATATTAAATGGTGAGTTAGCACTTACAACTCAATTTTTTTCAATCAAATACATGTACATTCTGTAACACAACATTACATATGGACGGCCTCACAGGTGTGCTTCAGGGAAGTAACTCGTATCAAGGATGAATGTCAATTCATTTTGAGAAGGTAATATATATATTTCTACGTTCATCGACTACATAATAGGCCAACCATAGTGTGAAATGAACAATGCTAACATTATAAACGAATTGAGTAATATCGAAATATGCTGAAAATTACGTGCAGTGCCATTCTTGCTTATCGAAGACCTTCCAAAACGGCCATTTTGTTGCTGACATATATATGAGCAGGGTAACGTTGACATACCATATACTTGAATAGACACACACCTCGTTAACAGAAACCTATCGTGGCTTACATTTTCAACTGAGACACTGCAGGCAGCTATAATAGATTGAGGTGTCGGGGCCTTGGGATTTTATTATTACACGTTATAAATATGGACTTTTTATACGTTTGTCAATCAATTTCTTGAATTGGCATTTAATTAAGAGATAGTTAGTGAGTTTGATGTAACTTTCAACTTTTGATATCACATTCAACAGTATTTGAGTTATATTACAGGAAGAGGTGTGGCTGTTAGAGATGGATAATACGATGGCCGA